CTCAGTTCTCATTATCTCAGGGTATTCCTTTTTGTTTCCTGGGGAACCACTGTAGTATTCAGAAAGTATCCTTTTATATGCTGGATATAAAAATGAGTTTTGGAAACAAAATTTGATAACGACAAGTTGCTTTATCCTGTTCATTGAACTGCTTCTTGGCAAATTCTTTCCTGTCGTTTTAGTGGGAGCCGATTCAATATTTCAACAACAAGGTCATCTGTGATTTGGTGGAGGAGAGACACAAAGGCATCATTTCCATCCTGGTGAGAAAATGAAGGTTGTGTGGAGCTAACACACGTGGTATTTCCAACATCCCAAAGAGGAGGGTCGCTATATTAGTGGAGGGAGCAAGTTGGACTTTTTTGTTTTACTCTTGCTTGGAGCTTGAGGCTGAGCTGTGGGCAGTCAAGTGGTACAGACTGTTAATTGTGCCCAGCTGCTAAAGGAAAGGCTGCCAGTTGAGGGCAATCAGAGGTGCCTCCTAAGAAAGGAATGGTAATGTAGTTCTGGAAAAACTGGCCAATGAAAACTTCATGAAGTAAAGAGGAATGTCTAGAGATAGATGTGTGTCTCTCCTGACACACGTGGGCTCGCCAGGGGTCAACTCAGTGCTTAAACTCACTGCTGTGGAGTCAGAACTGACATGTAGCTGAGCCTCCTTGGGTTTCCAAAGCCACATGGGAGGAGATTGCCTGTCCTCCCACAGGGCTGCTGGTGAACTTGAATCACCAGAGAATGTAGGCCTTCGGGTTTATCAGTGCGACTCCTTGTGGACCACACCACCAAAGGTCCCCTGTTAACTCAGTTGTGGTTATGTACCATGAAGTCAACTGTAACTCATGAAAACCCATGGACAACAGAGCTGAACTCTGCCCTATCCTGTGCCGTCCTCACCATCTCCAATATGTGTAAGCCCATTGTTACTGTCACTGTCAGTCCATCTCACTGACAGTCTTCCTCTTTTACGCTGACCCTCCACATTTCCAAGCATAATGTCCTTCTCCCAAGGTCTGGCTCCTTCTAACAACAGGCCCAAGGTATGTGCGATGAAACCTCACCACCTTGCTTCCAAGCAGCACTCTCATTGTACTTTGTCTCATTGTACTGTTTGTCATTTGGGCAGTCTGAAGGATCTTCAGCATTCTTCTCCAATGCTGCAACTCAAAGGCATCGATTCTTCTTCTGTCATCGTTAGTCATTTCGGATTTTCATATGCATAGGGTTGGTCAGTATTCATAGCAGCATTATTCACCATCACAAGAACATAGAAACAGCCCAACCCCAATCAAAATGGATTGAGAAATTATGGTATAGTCACATGGTGGAATACTACGCAGCACACAGGAGCAATGATTTTGTAAATCACTACCTAACTTGGGAGACTGGAAAGCATTATGCTGAGTGAACTAACTCAGTCCCATAAGGACAAATAGTGTATAAGACTATTATTGTAGAAATGGATCACTAGTAAAAAGTGTATGAGGATCTAAGGAGGGAGAGTTGGAGCACAGGGGTGAGAATGAGGGGGGCATAATCATAGGGTCACACAATTTGATGGATTGATGGAAGGATGGGTTAAGGAAATGGGAAAGATCCAGTGTAATATATACGGAATTTGTAAGTGAACCAGAATAAAACAAAAAGTTTTTTTAAAAAAAAGCCAAAAATACAGGTATTTATGATGAATAAATTATTAAACATACAAAAAATTGTGTAAAGACTATGGTTTGGATCAGGTGCACCTTAGTCTCTAAATTGATGTCCTTGCTCTTCAGCAGTGTGACTTCCTATTTATTTAGACTCCCTGGCCTTAATTACAGGCCAATAGGAGACAGCAAGGAAATATCCTTAAGGTGAAGGTACCCAACCAACTGCTGTGGAGTCAAGTCCAACTCCTGGTGACCGTCCATCAGGTCACTAAGTCTGGACAGAAGGAGTCTGCCCATTTTTTCCTCCCACAGTGCAGCTGGTGAAGTCAAACTGATGACCTTTCAGTTAGCAGCACAATACATTACCCACTACACCATGAGGGCTTCTTAGGGGGAACGAAGAAGTGTACACTTTCCTCTTCCATCCAAGAAAGGACAAGCCAGAGAACGGGGAGCACCACAGGGTCAGGCATTTGGTTGTAGGAAAAAGAGGCAGCTTTCCTGCTTAGTCCAGAGCTGGTAGAGGCAGAGTGGGAAGGAAGGCTTTACAGAGAACATGGGCTGAATCTGAGGAGTGGGACCTTCCAGTGGGCTTGTTGCCTTGTTTTAACACCTATGACTTCTGAGAATGTTGATATTCTCCCATCCAGAGGGTTCAGATCCAAACATCATTGTTGTTAAAGTAGGAATTCTTAAGACGAATGAGAAATTTCTGCTTTGCTTTTTGTTTGGGACCACCTGTCCCACTTTTTTGGGGGCAATATCGAGAACGTCCCTCATCCCCTCAACTGAACACCACGTTCTGAAGCAGTGTAGGGACAAGGGGAGGAGGGGCTGGTGCTATTGTGCCCTCGTGCAGGTTTAACAGGAATACCACGAATCAGATAGCTTTTGGGGGGAAAAAATTTATTATGGTTTACTTACAAAGTTCATATACATTCTTTTTCACCCCAGATCTTTCCCCTTTGCTTTACACATCCCTTCCTCTTCCCATCAAATTGTGTGACCCCATGATAAAGCCCCCCTCCCTTCTTTGGATCCTTGTACTCTTCCTACAATAATGGTCCTTCACAGTATTTGTCATTATGAAACTGAGTTCACTTAGCATAGTGTTCTCCAGTCCCTCCCAGGTTAGGCAGTCATTTACAAAATCATTGTTCCTACATGTTGCATAGTATTCCCTTGTGTAAACGTACCATTATTCCTCAATCCATTCCATTGTGGTTAGGCACTTGTAACCAAAGCTGGGAGGGAGTTGACCTTGGAATTCAGGGACACCGTGGTGAGGGTCAGGGTGGTGTGGAGTTGGCCGTCAATGGAGGAGCAGGACGCCAAGGTCTCAGCCTTGGAGCTGTTCAGGGTGGAGCCGGCACCACCTGTCACTACTGCGTCCCTGAATTCATCTCCAAGGAGGAAGAAGAGGATTTGCTTCAACCAGGAGTGGACTCAGCTCTCTGGGAGGAAGTTACAAAATTGGGGCGGGCTCCCTCACCCCTGGAATGGTCCCTGAGAGGCTGCCACCCTGGCTTCAGTGCTACATGGACAAAGTGTCTGACCTCAGCCTTTTTGGAGGTCTCCCAGCCAACCACGCCCTCGTGAACCAGTATTTGCCTGGGAAGGGATCATGCCCTGGGGACGGACCACCATACTACCTGACCAGCAGCCCCATCAGCCTGGGCTCCCACACCAGGCTGCATCTCTATGACCCGCGGCAGAGCAAGATGACA